TGGATCCAAGTACTGTAGCAATGGTCGAGTTCGCGCGACTGTCGAAACCAACGCAATCGTACGTGGTGAAAACCCTTCAAGACCCACCACATACTCTTGCTAACGTTCGTTCAGCTTCTATCAAGTAGGCCAGAGCAACGTCTTGACTTTGAGCCAGGTGCGCAAGTACGCGCAACACTTCATATTCTGGCGGCGTGCTATAGCAATCCCACCCCTCCATGCCCGTGACACATACATCATGTCACCGAACTGCGACACTCGCAACCTCTCCAGGGCAAGCCTCGAGTGGCAAAAAACGTTCCCCCTCGCACCGCCGCTCACTAATTTTCTCGCCGAACTATCGTACGCGCCGAGGTCATATAAACACTACTGTCCGAGTAAAGCTCATCGGCCCACGTACCTCGCTATGCTCGCGTGGCTCATGCGTGGTGCATGGGTAACCCAACTGTGCACATTTGCCTACGTTGTTGTCTGGCCCGAGATCATCTACGAAGTTGAGCACAAGCTCGAAAGCGATGAACTGCGCAAGGCCGAGGATCCTTCCTCCCTCAGTACCAGTGATCCACTGAGTAGCTCGGCACTGGACGCGGCGGACGGGAAGTCTGAGGCAGGGAGCAGCAGTGGTGGCAGTGGAAGTGGCGGTTTCGGCAGCGGCATCGCAGCGTACATCCCGTCGCACATTGAGCAGACGGCAGAAAAGGCACGCCTAGAACGCATCGCAGAGAAGACGCAGCGTGAGGCGGCCGAAAAGGCCACGGCGCACGCGCGCAAATTACCGCCCATGGCAACGGATCACCCTTCGACTAATGAGGCGCCTCATCTGGCGCGAATGCCCCCCTACATCATCGTGGACGCCAAGAAGGCGACGGGCAAGGAGTCGCTCTACCTCGCAGCCATCGGCAAGCGGTTCAAGGATCCCAAGGTTGCCAAGGCGTGGCAGGCCATGTGGAAGTATTTCAACGGGCAGACGGCTCTAGAGAGGATCGCGTTGCAGGAAGACATGAAGCGTAAGGAGGCATGGAACCTGCTGACGGCGATGAGCGAGCATTTGCTGTGTGTGAGGCACTGGTAGGCGTTTTGGTCACTTGCATGTCATCGCATGTAAAGACGGTTTTCCGAGAGGCACTTCACGGGATGCGGCAAACTGAGAGTCAGGTATCAGACAAGGCGCGAGAGAGGAATCATGGCACTGTTCTAGTGTGATCATGTAAAGGAATATACGGCAGACCAGCCGTTCATACGTCATGGAAAGAAAGGGAGGGTATCATTGTATGTGTGCGGGAAAATGAGGCAGCAAGCAGGTGGAAGCTACTTTCCCCTGACATGCCAAACGCCAATTGGACACGCGAAATCTGGAAGACGAATCACGCCAGGGTACAACCAACCAACAAAACCGAGTGATCCCAAGCAGATGTGTTGAACCTGAGACTGCGTGTAAGCATTGAGAGAGAAGAGATTTGTAGAAATGATTCCAGGACAGGGAGTAAGGCCAATTGTGGAGAAAAAGATTGCCTGAAAGATATTGAACCCGCCCCATGTCCGCCCTGTGAATTAGAGATGAACTATAAAAAAAAAAGAAAAAGACCTTGTGCAATGCCCATCCGAACCCAGAGGTATCACGTCTCCCAGTAGATGATGATGCTTGATTAACCCAGAAAACAGAAACGAAAATGGAAACCCAAAAGAAACCCCGAGCCGGCTCGACCAAAACACGTCTCATTCCTCCACGTTGTGCTTCACGGGCTGTTGGTAAGGCTCTAACCGCCCATGTAACCGAAAAAAAAAACATCTCAACGCCGTCGCCCACCGAAATCCTTAACCGCCCCAACGCGCTTGGATGCAACAAAGATACCATGGCTGCGTGAATGCATAAACAGAGCAGGAACTTGGAAGGAGAAAATAACCACAGTAGGATCAGAATGAAGACGGCGGGGAAATCGTCATGGGTTCTGACAGTCCGTCCTACTGTGTCAGATCCATGCCGAACTCGTCTTCCTCCTTGAAGTTCAGCGAGGTCGGACCACTGTCGTCATCATCCGGATCATTCCAAAATTCGCTGCCGGCGTTGAGATCGTTTGCGAGACCGGCGCCGTTGGTAGCGCCAGGGCTGACAGAAGTGCCGTCACCAGCATTGCCTAAGCCATTCATGGGCTCGCCGCGGAAGTCGGTGTGGTGGGGTACCCGAAGACCAGATCCGGTCGTGCGAGAGTATCCTGGGACTTCGTTCTTGGAGATGGCTTCCATCAACTCTGTTTGCATACGCTTCTCATCCTCTGTGAGCTCGAACGGGAAATGGCCGCCGAGTTCCGCAATGGCGTTCATCAACTCCTCCTGCTGCTGCAACTTCAGATGCAGCATCCACATCAGATCTCTCGTCCAGCTGACTGCGCCGTTCAGAATATCTCCCTTGTTGGGACCCTTATCCTTGTCCTCGAGGGGGAGGCCGGTCGTGATATTGCCTGTTGCGCCAGCTGCGCGGCGTGCGCCGGGCCCAGCAAGGCCCGAGGTGGCCTGAGAGGGGTTCGAAATGCCGGACAATGTAGGCGAGAGCGGGGTACCGTTCTGGATCATCTTGCGAATCTTCTCATCTTCCAAGCGATGGGCGGGAACTAGCCTGCTGAGATCTTGAATTCTCTCGTTGATGTTGTCTCGGCGGCGTCGCTCGACGAGGTTGTGAGACTCCCGACGCCGCTTGCGCTTCATCTCTTGAGAGGAAACCGCACCACCGGGCTGAGCCCCCAGCTTTGCGGGCATCGATGTGCCACCCTTCATCATGACCTCGTTGAGCTGAGCGAGGCCGGGTTGAATAGGCGACGAGAAGCCAGAGCCATATGACGCCGCCATGCTCCCCGTTGGGGTCTGCATCCACTGACCTCCTGATGGTGATTTCTCATGCATGCCTTGAGCCCGGATGGATTGAGGACCAAAGCCAGTAGACTCCTGGGTCGCCATGGGGACCGAGTGCATTGCTGACTTGGGAGTCATGGGGCTGCGAGTGTTGGAAGATGAGCTCTTCCGTTGCATGGCCTGTGCCATTCTAGCTCTATTCTTAGCGTTGAGGTAGTTGGTCTCGGCGGCATCACCAGTCAGGTCAGACCCAGCCAAGGGTGAGCCCGAGTAGGAAATGGGAGACTGAAGCGACGTGCCGAGCGCCTGGCGGTGGTGCATCTGGGCGAATCCCGAGTTGTTGAAGCTGTGCACGAAGGGGCTTTGAATGGGGTCACCGTCGGGGGTGTTGGAGTAGCCGTTGATGTGGTTTTGGTCTAGGCCGTGATGAGAGCCGTAGATGGGTTGGTTGAAGCCCATATCCATGTTTGACATTCCGCCACCAAAGTCCTGGCCGTGGCCATGTAGCGGCTGTTCGGTTGGACTTCCGAGGCCGTCGAGTAGCTCATCGTCGCCAAAGAGGGCAGAGCCGCTCGAAAACCCGTTTGTGTTTCCTGAGTTGGAGTTGTAGTTGTTGGAATAAGATGATCCATAGTTTCCTCCCATGGCCAAGTCGTTGGGATCGATGCTTCCGCCGCCACCTCCACCGTGGCCACCGTTAAACTGGCCGAAGCCGTGTTGTGCCATTGTATGTACTGTTGAAACGGCTTTGGTTTGAATCTGCGTCTAGAAATATGCTGGATCGGCGACGATGCGAGGTCTCGCTGACCTTGTAGTGCTCACACCGCCTCTTTCGTCAAGGAGTGCAGTGACAGGCTGCGCTGTTATGCTGGAATGATTCGAGAGGGTTTGACCCGGAGAGGTTATAGCTGTAGTGCGTTGAATCGTCAGCGGTGCGGTCGAAACGATAGGGAGGTTGCACAAATCAGAGGTGCTCCGAGGTTCGCTGCGCGCACTTTTGCCTTCCTGTTGGACAATCACGAACTGGAGATTGTATATGCGGATGTTCTCCACACAGGCGCAGGCAGTTTTTAAACGCCACCTAGGCAAAATAGGCAGGGAGAGCGAGCGGGAGAGGAATGCGAGTATGGGAAGGAGGGCGCGACCAAGGCAGGACTGACTCACCAAGCCAAAGGGGAAATGCCGGGAATATGTAAATGTTGGTCGACAGCACACAAAACCGTTGTTACACGGCCATTCACTGCAGTGATATGGAAGGTGCGGGGATGGCGTCCTAAGTAAGGAAAGCCTGCGTCGTAGATGGTAGCGAGGCGAAAGGCGGTTAAGAGGGGGCGCGTGTGTGTGTGTGTGTGTGTGTGCGCGTGCGAAAGAGACTGAGAATGCGAGAGTGTGGGAGTAAGCGAGGCAAGGTTTGCGATCTAGGTCGCCTGTCGCACAAGTGTATAATGAGTAGAAAATCGCTACCTGTTGGGTTGCAAGAACAGAGTCAAGCGATAGAGGACAGACTGCGTGTCGAGTCTTGGAGTGAGGTGAAGGAGGAGAAGAAGATGAGAGTTGAGTCTTGACAAGTTGCGATGGAAATGCGGTGTCGGGGAGTCGGGGGTTTGTAGTGTGGTGCGCAAGCGGTGCGTTGCGGGCTGCGGGTGAGCGAAAGTAGGTATGAGTAAGAAGTTGGTGTAGGAGCCTCGGGGCTGGGCGCTACGGCTGCGCTGGACTGGGCTGGGGAATAATTAGTTTAGGACTGTGTTGAAGGAGAAGGACGTGTGTAGTGTCAAGTACTTGTTAAAGTGCACGATTATCCGTACATGGGGGGGTGCTGAGGGAAGCCCATGCGGGAGACCGATGCCAGACGCCGAGGGCGAGGGCGGGGGAAGAGGCGAGGGGTACCCAAGTACCTTGTACTTGAGGTACCTTAAAGGTGAGTAAGGTAAGGTAAGGTAAGGTAGGTTTGGGGGAAAAGAAGAATCGGGGACGGGGACTGGGACTGGGGCTGGGGAGGGCCCTCTTCGGCTTCACCTTACCTCTAGTACAGCTGTGGGGGAGCGAAAAGGTAAAGCTCTTGTCGGTGAGTGTCCTTTGGTTGGTGACGGAGGTGCAGCGTCTTTTGCGTCTGTTCAGGAAACAAAAATGGGACGCGTCCGCTGCAAGGGAGGTTAGAACACCTCTACTGGAATGAATACGGATACTTTTGACGGTGTGAAGCACGCCTCGAGGCTTGGGTGATCCAGGCCCAGAGACAAGGGGTCGTGAAGGGGTTCACAGCAGGCAGGGTTTGCCAGGATAGGACAAGACAACTTGTGGTTCAGGACCTCGAGGTGTGCTTGTGCCATCGAGCATGACATGTCTGCAGTCCGGTCCGTGGGCCGAGGGGCAAAAAAGGGAATGAGAGCAACGCGAAGGAGAACGGACGATGTGAAGTGATGGGACACGGATGCTGACTTACAGAAGAATATGGGTGGTGGGTAATATTCACCTAGTCTCCCAACCTCACACGGCAGATGTTGTTCCTTTTGAGAGGCGACGAGAACAACGCTTTGGCTCGGCTTGCCGCCTGACGCTTGACGTTGCACAAGAAGGAAATAGAGGTGAGAGTGAGGATGATGGTGGTGCTGGAAAGGAGCTCTTGTCGACAGGAAGAGATGGGAGGGGTCCAATGCCAGGGAAAGATGGTGTGCTGATTTCTTGGTATTGCTACCACACTTGGTGCTGATGCTTGATTTCCTGGTCTGCTTGCTTGCTGTAAAGTGTCCGCTAGTATAGGTAGGCGGGATGGAGGATTGAAGTACTGGTGGTGACACTCTAGAGTGCGTGAGAAAGTGCAACGGACGAAATGGGTTGCCGCCGGTTCGGACGGGTCGGAGACAGGCGGTTGTCTTTGCTGTGATGGTTGCCGGACCCTGGGTACAGTGGCAGTCGACTGCTTATACTTCAAATGGCCGCGGAGTGCAAGATGCTTGGGGCGGATGTAGCGCTCGTTGCGTATCTCGCCGATACCAAAGTGTGGTGAGCAAACACGTTGGAGTTGACTGCTTGGATTCGGGTCAGTCAGATACGATGTCCGCGACACAAGAGTAAGAGGAACAGGTGAATGGATGCGATGCAAAGGAGAGGGAATGGAAGAGGGCGGGTATGCCATGTATAATAAATCTGTGGCGGAAGAGGCGGCTGTGAGGCTGAGTCGTGGAATACAACTCCACGAGGGGGGTGAGAAAGGCTACATTATAAGGAAGGGACGGGGATTGGAGGATGCGCAAAGTAGTGTACCAACCTTGCTGAGGAGAAGGAGGAGGAGGAGGAAGTGACGAAGTATGTCTTTCCCTCTGGATCTTCAACGCAAAAACAACAGGCGGTTAGTTGAACAATGTCTGATGTGAAAGTGAAGTGGCGTTTACTCAACTTGGATGGGTAGGTAGTTTCCGGGAAAGCGGTGCGGTTGACGTGCAGCGGTTTCTGTGGTCCTGTATTGTTGGTTGGGGGCGGTTTTTGGAGCGTTTGTTCCAGGTAGGACAAAATGATTCCTCCGTGGGGAATGCGGCCTGTGTGCGGGTACGGAGTACACCGTAAAGGTCCACGGGTGCGACTGGAGAGTTGGAGAAGTCTGAAGAGGCGAGGGCCAAGATCGCAGTCGGAAACCGGCTCGACGTGGTAGGGGGCGGTGATCCCTGTCGATCGCTAGATGAGCGCCTTTTCGCACACTGCTAGGGCGGAGGTGAGGTTGGTGCTCGTAGTGGGTTATATCAGAGCAGTGTCGTAGACAGTGTAGATGTGATTTTCATGCGCGGAAAAGCAGGGAGCAAGATAATGTCTCGGGCAAGATAGAAGAGGCAGGCAGAATGCGTTGCCTTAGGTTCTTTCCAACTTGTTTTGGTGGTGAGGTAAGGTACCTACAGATGACAGTACAGTGTACTTGTCTCTCGAGATAGGACCTAAGTGGGTTGGTTGCTGTCGCTCCAAGTGTCGCCGTTATTTGCTAGGAACGAGTGCGCTGTAGGCAAATTTAGGTTTCGGCCTGCCGATGTCTGGAGCAAAGCTCCCGGTCGGTCCAACAGGAAAGAGAGAAAAAAGGGTCGTCGGCGAGACGGACTCAACGTGCTCCTCTGAGAAAAGACCGGAGTGAGAGCTCCCCGAATTGTCGACGCCGTTGTGCAGGGGTTTCGGACCCGGCGGCTTGGAATTTCTTGGATAACTCGCGCAGACGTATTCGAGATCACTAAGCAGTGACCAACTTTGCACCTGAATGTTCCAACTTTCCAGAGAACCCGGGCGGTGCTGTTCGGCTGTGTGTAAGGTAGGTATCGTCTACTTGCTGGTCTCTTTGCTCTACTATCCCAGCGTCTAGGTCGGTATTGATGAGTTGCGATGGTAATAAGCCTGTATTGGTACGAATGAGAGCGTTCCTCTGGTGTCTTGTTTCGATGGTCTGTGCGTCGGTGAGTCGAGGTAAAGGTAAGGAACTTTGGGGCCTCTGATGCATTGGTATTGGGTCCGGATCTCGGCTGGTTGTTTCTGTCCTCCCTTGTCAACTCTTGTTTCCTTCTTGGGTCCTGTCTCTTCTGTTTCGTTTGCCAACTCCCAGAACGGGGCATCTCCACCTACCTCCTCTTGATTTGTGTTTTCCGCGTAACTCGAGAGTCGAGAATCGGTCGCTTCTGTTGTTTGAGGTTGTGTTTGCTCAATCGTTTCCTCTTCTCTTCTTTCCTCTTCCTTTCTCTCTCTCTCCGGCACAGAGGGAAACGCGCTAGCATTTATATCAAGGCCGCGTTCTATTAACAGACACTATATCATCTGGATGAGGCTTGTCACTTCACTTGCATCTCCTGACTCGTCCCATATCCCGGGGTGGGCACCCCCATTCTATCCTCACCGGGACGTTTTGGCAGCCTCTTGGTCCGAGTCGGGATAAGATGGAGGGCAGCCCGGACCCCGTGATGCCTCCAAGTCAGACGGCTAAGACAACTTACCCACCTACTGGACCCGCGCCGGCCGCGACGACTCACGACGCTCATCGGGACCTGCTTAAGGATCGGCAGAAATAAGGTGGTCATGCACTTGAAATGTCTGGCTTTCCCTCAAAAGAAGACATCACGAACTCATGTAAAACTGGGCTTCTCCATGGCTCCTAGACTGCCCGGCCAGGAACCCGAGGCCAGAAACGCCCCAGAATGCCCTTGGCTTAGATATGGGATTCTGTCTCATTTCGCATCGCCTTGTTTAGAAACCAGTTTTCTCATCACCCCGCAGAACACCTTACCCATGGCGCCCATGGTCCATGGCCGGCTCGACTCCTAGTTGGACGACATGGCTCCAGAGGCCTGCGCAAACCCCGCCAGCAAACACATTCCTAGGTACTAGGAGAAGCCTTGTCCACGCCCAAGATGTCGGTTTGTTGGCATTCAGATCAGGCATGGAAGGGAGAGCCCTTATCCGCGAATCTGAGATATCTGGCCAGGTCCATGCAAGACTTGTGTGTGCCAGAAGCTTGGAGACTCGCGACATCTGGAACGGGGGCAAACATCTTCACCGCCTCGAACCTGTGCCTTATCGCCTTCTGCCTCGACTATGACTCGCTTAACAGAAAGACAAAGAGCTTGACCGCCGTCTTGTCGCATATATTGATATCTTGGGTATATCCCGTTTGGGGTAGCACACATACATGCACACACACACATACTCATACCTCTGTCTGGCAAGCACCTCAGACAATCGAGAGGCCGCCGCCGTGATGTCAAGCACTCCCGAGCCTTGTCCCCTGTGGCGTACACATACTGTGTGTGTAACCTGGGCTCTTGACGCAGGATACATGCGGATTTGGCTCAACATCTGAAGAGTATCGTGATTAGATGGGCGGCGCCAGCGGCACTGACAAATATCTCAAACATTGTTTCCCAAGCGGTTTTACTCCTCTTCAGACCATCACCACCACCATTGCGGCATAACAGGACGAATGTCTGCTGGGAAACCCACCCCTGGCCAAGATGTGATCGCCGGCTCCGCAGTGAGTGCCGGCGGCAATCCTACCCCAAGTGGCCTTTACCTGCTCGATGCGGCCTCGACTTTCCCCCTCCTGCACGGCTACCAGCAGCAAGTCTCAGAGCTGCAGCCGCACTGTATCAGCAACGTAGAAGATGGTGAACCTGTCAGAATCGCGGTTCTTGCGCCAATGTAAAGGTTGCAAAGTGCCTCTGGAAGGTCGGGTCGGGTGTGGAGTTAGGGGAAGGCTTCCAATCATGTGCTGCCGATTAAGGATAAGAATGACCTTGTGGACCCACCTAGACTCTGAGGAAATGGAACTGGATGTTCTCAAGTGAGGTGTTGGGTGTGTCGAGGTCTCAAGGTGAGTGTGGTGAGGTGCTGGGCCAGAAATTCGATAACGCTGGTGGCTGTGTTGGTTGGCTGAAAGCCCGGATTTCGGGGGATCATGGGTACGTACTTCCAGCCGACAGGTGGTCTGTGTGTCCGGGGAAGAATGCAGCCACTGATTGGCCGATTTCAACCGCACCTGGTGCACCTGCGCTGCTTCGCTCTGAGACATTCTCAAGCTCACCCTGCCTTGCCTCCTCTCTGCCTCTCTCTCAAGTCAACCTCCGTCCCGTTCCATCACCTCCCCACCCCCTTCATCAAGCTATCAACCTCGTGTACCAGCCGCCTTAGCCCCCCTCCATCCTCAGGCCGTTCGCCGTTCGCCTTCGCCTTCGTCTTCGCGTCTGCCTCTGCGACTTACGTTATTACGACACGGTGCGGTACGCGCGGACACTAGGCCACCACCAAGAGATCAAGACCAGCCTACGTCGCATCACAAAACGAACAGGTGGTCTCCCAATAGCCCACCCTCTTGTGCACATTTAATCGTATGCGCCTTCCGACCCTCCCCCCTCCTTCATGGACCATGACCCTGTATATCAACCAAGCTGACCATCTTGGCTGTGGAGAAGCAGCTCGACACCCGTCTTCCTGACGCTCATCTGCCGCGCTATACCAGTCATCTACTCCCGTGTTCTCCCAGCACCCTCGACGGAGGCCACCCCGAAGTCGCCCTCCACCCAATAGCAGCCCTTTCGCAAACCGACTCCAAGCGGACTGCCCCCGATACTGTCAAGGGTCGCCTGTCACTTGACCACATACTGCTCCACGCATAGAGAGGACGCTCCCGCTCTTGCGTGCATCTGTTGCTATTTATCTCGTTTCCGCGGGAGTAACGACACCTGCGTCTAGCACGTCATAGTTGCATCTCTCGACTCCCGTATCCCACCGCTACGATGGCGTCCGCTTCTTTCAGAGACTCGATGAACTCCCTGGGCTGGTCAAGACGGGACCAGGACGTGCCCGTCAACACGGCGCAACAGTCCGGTCTCATGTCTTCGATCAAGTCCCTCAATCCTTTTGGAAACAACAGCTATATCCAGCTCCCAACAACCGAGGGCGCCGGCGCGCCTCTGCCTGCTGCCAACAGGAGAGAAGAGGAGGAGGGCTTCGCAACGCGTGAGTCATTCTGTCTGTGTGCTTTTACCGTCCCACCACCTCTGGCAGCTTCATCCTAGAGCTCCCAGCTCCCCTGCAACTGGCATGGCCTCTAGTTGTGGATTTCCCATGTCTCGGATTGCCATGTGAGCAGGCGGGCTTACGAGGTGGTGTTGTCGTGTCCGCTTCATCTTCTCCGGAACAGCCATGCTAACGTAGTAAATTCCACTTCAGTGAGTCGATGGGACCGTTTGCTCATTTTTGGTGCTTGCAACCTGGGCGCCCTCGCCTGCTTCGTCATCTGCTTCGCCTTGTTCCCGGTAGTAGCTGTGCGGCCGCGCAAGTTTGTGATTCTGTGAGTTTCCACCGTTCCCTTCTCTCTACCCTCTGGTCCTTGCCTCGTCGTAAGCGGTTCCGCTCTCCTCTATGGAAGGTCATCCCACGGGTGCCTATCAACCCGGCTAGTTGCCGGCGCGGCAGATCGACAAAGGTGTGTTTGGATCGGTACCTATTGTGCCGTACCCGAATGTAGCCTTGCCCCTCTGTATCTACCCGCCTTTCATGCCAGATGATCTTGCATGGCGAGCTAGTTATGAACACCTCATCCGGTGATCGAACGGCGTGACGAGGACTCTCGAGGAGCTTAGCGTTGATACGGCGTTCGCGTTCGCCATCTTCGAGTTGCGTACCTGTTGCTAACATTATCGTTACCTAGATGGACACTTGGCTCCCTCCTGTTCCTGGCGTCCTTCGCGGCCGTCATGGGCCCGATGGCGTACGTGAAACACCTCGTCTCCGGCCCGCGTTTGCCTTTCACTGCTGCCTACTTTGGATCGCTTGGGCTTTCCATGTACTTCTCTCTCGGTGTAAGTTATATGACGTTGTTCTCAACACGAGGCGAAAGCACGCCGGCTGACTCCGACATAGCTTCACAGTACTATTTTGACCTTGATCTCGGCTGTCATTCAACTGGCTTGCCTCGTTTGGTACCTGGTCAGCTACTTCCCCATGGGCTCGAGCGGACTGCGTCTGGCCACCACATTTGGCGCCAGAAGAGCTGCTGCCTGGATGACGGGATGAGCTTTAAGCTATCATGTATACTTTGTAAGATGAAGACGAAAAATGATTATGGATGATCGTACCACGGTAGCTAGTCGGCATTGCTCTTCATGTTTGCATACAGAGTGGGCAAAAGAGTGTCGAAAGAAGTCCGATTTCGAAATGTAGTTCAGTAAAATGTATCAAGGTAGCTGAGGCGTTCGGCTGCCCTCTTGGCCGCTTCAATTCGCCACTCATAGGAGAGGCTATGACCTTGACTTGAACCGATTTCCCCGATCAGGTACGATGTTCCTTCCACCTTTCGGTCACGATCATTTCGTTTTGTTCGTCTGGGATCCGAGTTCCATCTACTACATCCCGCCGGCTTATCGGCAACTCCCCTACAAGTAACGGGGGATCAAACGATCCAGCGAAGAGTCTTCACAATGAAGACGCTCTCGGAAAATCCCAGCATCGTTCATCACACACGTGAGTTTAGCTAGTGGCATTATGTTACTTCATGGGCCAGGTTTCATCTTTAACTTGTATCTTCTTTTCCACCCGATGGCTTCCTGACTCTGCCAAGGGAGAGACTTTGAGGTTGTGAACCAGCTCAATCAGTCGCTGCACCTGAACCAGCTGCACCTATTCTGCGGGCTTCGACGGTCTCAAGAAAGGCCTAGGAGCTTCATGCATGACAACTTGTCGAAGTAACTACCTCCGTGGATAGAAATGGCGTATGTTTCTGTGTTTGGCTCGAGTTGATCGTCATTTCTGAAAGTATGGATTGATCATTTGCTGGCTATACACACCCACCTCGCACAGCAGCTGTCTCCGTGGAAAGTCGTGGGATCAGTCAGGAGTGAGTTTCACTTGCACATCTTCACTGCCAGCTTGAAAGACCGGGAATTACGTAGCGTAGAGTGACATATCCAAAGCGGGACGTAAACAATATATGCTCTCCATCGGATGTATCCCGTGCTACTGGTGGGAGGTCTTTAGGCGTCGTGTGCCTGGATGCCCTTTCCGTTGGTTTTTTCCTGTTTCTTTTTTTTTTTTCCTTCATCAAGGGTCTCTAGACAGCCCGGCCCCACAATGATCGACGGATTAGCCTCTGCCGAGAACCCTGAGAAAAGGGAATGTTTTGGTGATTTCCGTAACCCTTTCACCTCTCAATTGACACTTTCAGTGCTCAAGGGTAACCTGCGTTAGACCTCATAAACCCTGCTGTTGGTTTGTTGCAAGGCTGAGGAAAATAGTAATCAGAGGCCGAGAGGGAAGATCTCACGGGGGATGGGAAAGTCACCGAAGCAGTGTCCACCTCGGACGGTGGATCCCGGCACGGCCAGGAAGGCTCGGAAGGCGAGCCAGTCCACTTCATTCGAGGGAAAACGATAAATGTCCAAGGGCCCCGGTGGAGAAAGCACTGATTGTGAAATGGGATCCTGGGAGGCTGGGAAGCTTCGCCGAAGATGAAAGGGGGAAATAGCAGGTTGTTGGCCGAAATTCCCGTGTTCAGGCGTGTGCGCAAACCCTCTTAGATGAGCTTTTTCGATGTAACTTGGTTTACGAGTTACGACAGCTCCCATACCCTGTCTCTTAACCTCGAATAATCAATATTCTAGACGAAGAGCCTCGCCGTCGTCAACGCGAGACCCACTTGGCTTTCCCTGCAGAAAGTTGTTCCGAACGGGCTCCTTCCGAAAGATGCCAGGTAAAATCATCCAGGTTTCTGCATCAAACTATGCCCTTTGCGCCATTCGAGCGGTGGCTGGAGGTTGAGACAGGATAAGCAAAGGTGTCTATCCGCAGCCACTGTGGCTGGCCTGAATCTTTTCTGACTGCCTACGCAGGGCTTGCTAAGCCTTTTCGGCTCTAGACAGACGAAGACACAATGCATTGGATTACCAGGTTGTGCTCTTTCGGGGTAAACCACGAACGCGCATCTTTGTATCAAAGGAGAGGGCTAGTCTGTCGGGTTATTGTTCGTGAGAGAGAAGAATAATGGACGCATAACACTGATAGGAAGAAGACGAAGAAAAGAATCGGGACCAGGGTCGGGAATTGCCCACACCACATATCCGTAGACGGACCGGTCATGGGAAATCGTCGTCTTTGATATTGCCCATGTCGTCCTCAGGGTGTCGATGATGACTAAGGCAGGCAATGCAATAAGAGTGAAAGAAGTGGTCATCGCAACTGAAATGGCTGAGGATTCAACAGATTGAGCCGTGGCATATTGCCTTACGCCTTCATCCCGTGCATAATAGGGCCCGGAAGTCGTTTTGAAAACAAAGTGTACAAAGAAGGTCGGCCGAAGGTCGATGAAGGATACGCCCTGTGGCGGGGTGGGTGTGTGTGTGTGTGTGTGTGTGTGTGTGTGTGGCACAGTGATGCGGCGTATTCGTACTTGCAGACAGTAAGGTAGAAGCAGTTGACGCTCGTGAGACGAGGGCTTCAGAGAAGGTCAGACACAGGGCGCGGTTATGTAATCCACATTCTCGAGCTCAAACTGGAAGAATGTAGCCGCGCTTACCGTTTCCCTCCTCCGTCCTGGCCATGGGGAATTAGAGGATTGGATGCAACGCAGAGTGCAGAGGAGAGGCGGACCAACCGGCATTCGTTGCAAAAGAGAGGAATTGTGCGTGGGCCGTGAATATGCAAATGGAGAGGATTCCGTTTTCCAATTAGGTAGTCAAGCGGGCTTCTCAGTCTTCGTTTTCTCCGTGTCAAGGTACGTACCGATATAGCCAATGGCGCCTGCCATTCGGAAGGTAGCTGGAAAGTGCATACCGCCTCGACGCACCTGCCTTACTTTGGACATATCAACTGGAATTCGCAAAGAGTCTCTTTTGGGTAAATTGCAACTTCTACGAGAATGCCGATGTGCCAAAGCAAGGTAGTAATGGCAATAGGTGGAATCGCCCCCCTCACAAGTCCCCAAGGTCTGACTTGCAGAAGAATCGAAACCGTCCATCTGCCCGCTCGAGCGGAAGGTGCGGTGCGGTGCATTTCGGCGCAGCGAAGTGCGTCTGTACATCGACAAACAGCACTTCATGACATATGATACATGCGACACGGGCGAATAAGACTTTAGCTGAAGGGTCATCACACAAAAAGGCACATGATAAAAATAATAGAAATTGCCTTGGCCTGGTGAACAACCGACTTATATTCGCGCAACCCCACCAAAGCCGACAAGGAACCGGAGGGGGATGGATGGGATGGGCACGCATGCAGAAGGTCGCAGCCAGCGGGAAGAAGAAGAAGCAGAAGCGGGCAGACCATTCCGGGGTCAGATACGGATAAAGGAGTTGGTAGGCGAGAAAAAACCAATGACCACAAAAAGGTAGAGAGATCCCAGGATTCGGTTTGATGCAAAGCGAGGTAGTGACTACGCAAAGACTAACACTTACAGGCTACCCGTGTTACCATGGTGGAGGCCATTGACCATAGGAGGAGCGGAGGGAGGGGTAATCGGTATATGTTTTTTTAGTAGTTTTTTTTTTTGCCCCATTTCGTCTACGTACTGTCCTTTGACCTGTGTTTTCCTTACACAACTCAACCTTTCCTGACTTACACCGAGGTCATGATCCAATGATGGGCTGCCTATACCACCAATCTTTATGTCATGCCGGTCCCGTCGGTGCGTCTTGCTTCCTGCTTTCTGCCTGTCATGCCCTGTGCCCTGCTGTTGCTACCTTGCCTTAGTGTAAGGTATCAGTAGGTACTCCGTAAGGTAAGGTATGTAATAATCAGTGCCTTGCTTGTCTACCCTGCCCTGCCGGGTCGGAGCGATGGGCAATTTCTGCCGTTGCCGGCCACTTTAAGCCTACCCATGTCGTCGGAAGCCTTGAGTATCCGCGTTTCCTGACTGGTCCAGCCCTCGTGAGGTACCATGCCTTAGTCCCTTCCAGCGGCCTCATGGCCTCAGGTAGGAAATATTTCGGCCACCGCCCGCCCCGTCAAAGACAAGACTGGAGTCATTGAACGCCCCAACCCACGTCAGTCGGTGGTGACCCCTCCATCCTCGGCCTCCTGCGCGCTCTCCCACTTCTACCGTAAAGCACCTCACTTTAGGTAGGTATCTTAGGTCGGCTTGCTCCCGTCCCGTCCTTTCACTCCCATTGCTGCACAGCACATCGCCTGAGACATGGACCTATTGGATGCTCTGGATGAATGAGACTTTCGAATCACCTACCTACCTCACTCTACCACCTACCTCTTCGCCTCGCCTCGCTATACGCTAGGTGTCTTGTAAAGTTTGATGGATGGTTGGGCATGTCTTCTATTAGATGAGGTGGTGCATGCCCTGCTTCACCGACAGTGTCCTGCATCCAACCTGCCTGACACCAGTGTGTAAGGCAAGGTAAGCCTAACCTAAGCCTGTAAGGTGAATGCCCTGAGATGAATCACCAAGGTACCTTTACTCAGTACATGGAAACCCGCGGATGAAGCACCTCCCGCATCTCAGTGAATTGTCAGTGCCTTGGGGTCCCTTCCCTCAACCCCAAACCTCCAGGTCCCAGTCAGTCACCAAAGAATTCCAATCACCCGCTGTGCCAGCGGTCCTTTCCCCCCTCCCCGCTAAAAAGTCAGGTCAACCAAGCTGCCTCCACCTTTTACCTCAAGTGCCAACCTGGTAGTGGCTTTCCCGAGAAGAAAAAAATTCATTCACAAAAAAAAAACTCGGGCCTCAGATTTTATTCCTGGGTCTTTTTCTCCTCCTCTCCCACAACCACACATCTCTCTCTCTCTCTCTTTATCCCTCTCCTCCACAAACCTTGCCCTACCGGTATCCTTGTGGTCATTCTTCCTCTGTTCACTCGTCCTGCTCGGCCGATACCCTTTTGTTCGCCAATTTTACAATAGCGGACATTTCGTACACGACCAGCGAGACCCCTCAGGCCAACAACCAAGCCCTCCTCCAATCGAAGCCTTGCGTTTACCGTCTTCCACGTTTTCTTTGGATCGCCGCAGCCCGAGCATCTCCGGAACGTCTCGCCTCGCTTGTTTCTCGCAACCCAAAAAAAAACACACTTCGTTGACGTGCCCTCAACCCACCTCCCCCCTCTTCGTTTACGAGGAACACAGCTTCCACCGCACCTCATACAATCTCGCTCGCGCACTCGATCCTACTGATTCATCAGTCCTCGCGTGCCCCCGTCCTGAGATCGTTTCCGCACCCGCCCGACACAAAACTCTAGCCACCTTCCGGCTTCACTGGACCAGCAGGACCTGCTAGTCCCGACATTCTTGCGTTTGCCTCAATCTTTGAAGGCGCCCGACGACGTCAACCGGCACCTGATTCCTTTCACGGCACCTCAGGCCACCGACCAACTCATTCTTCCGGACCACGCGGAGAGGTTTGGTTCGTCCTCTCCGGTCTGTCTCCGTCTCGGGAGTTGCTGGTAAACCTCGGTTTACCCAACAGCAGGATACACAACAGCCCGTTCGCGGCTACTACCTCAGGGCCTGGCAGGATTAGATCGGTTGATCATCTTCCCTGGTCCCTTATACCCCAATAGTCTTTCGAGGCATGCCTATTTCTGCATCAGACCTAGCATCAGACACGATGGCTACTGCATTTTCTTACGCTCAAGCCGCCAAGGGTCAGGCGGCCACAACACCCGCGGCTCAGACCACCGAGAACGGCAAGGACTCCGCGAGCTCAGTAAACGGCGAACAACCGGGTGCCGAGCCCACCGCTGTCAAGGGCACCGACTCCGCTGACGACGAGTCCTCGAGAAATACCCCTCTCAAGGCCCAACTGGATGCCAAGCAGGACGTTTCCTCTGGCCAAGCAGAGGCCAACAGCACGAACACACCATCTGCCGCCGCTTCCGTCACCGACTCGCGACGCGATGACGAGGAGGCCGTTGCCGAAGCCTCTGCCCGCCGAAGTGAGAAGAGCGTGAGGTCGGCAAGCGCATCTACTCGCGTGACCGACGAGGCCGAGCCGAAGAAGGGCTCTAGGAAGCCTAGAAAGGGCAAGGCCGGAAAGGAGTCAAGCGAGGATGCGAAGAAGGAGAAGGCCGCAGAGCAGGAGAAGGAGGAGCCCAAGATTGAGCTCGTTGAAGCGCCGCTTCCTTCGGTCAACATCTGGACCCAGCGCAAGGAGACAGCGGCTCACAAGACCTCTGTCACCTTGCCCGCCGCCAATGGTGCTACCAGTGCATCTACCCCAGTTGACACCTGGCCCAACAGCCAGGAGTCAAAGAAGAAGAACAAGGCTGCTGACGGCGCTGAAGCCACCAACGGCACTGCTGCCGGCAAGTCTCAACGCAAGGCCGGCGATGGTGATGCCGCCGCCAGAAGAAACGGTGCTCGCGGCTCAAGAGTCATCGAGAGAGATAGCCGATTGACCGAGGTCCCTCCTCCTGTTGGCGACGTTCACTCATGGCCTACGCCTGAGACGGCAGTCAAGGAGATTGTCAAGGAGGAGAAGCGCAAGCCTTCTGAGAAGGTCGAGCGGGTAGAGGTCGAGGTCCAAGACGATACTGGCGCCAAGGGACGTTCAAAGGACAAGTGGGAGCGTATGGACTTTGTCCCTACTGTCCAGTTCTCCACCCCTATCCCCTCAGTCAGAGGCTCTCGAGGAGGACGAGGTGGTGCTCGTGGTGGACGCGACGTTACTTCTCGTGGCGGCCACGGTGCTGCTGCTGCTGCCTCTGCTGACAAGCCGGCCGGTACTGCTACCCCTACCAAGGCTGGAAACGAAGCTCGTGACCGTGCTCGCGATGGTAACGCTCCGGCCAGAGCCAACTCTCAACCCCCTGTTGCGAACAAGCGGGCCTCGATGGAAGTCTCCAACGGCAAGGAGCAGCGCAAGCCCACGGCGCCCAACTCCGGCGACCGCAACAAGGAGTCGCAGTCAAATGCCACCAATGTAAGTTGATTTCTGCCTGGGTGGTTCTGCGATACCGTCTGCAACATGTATGCTAACACATTGAAAGGAGCAGGCCGGTCCTGTTAGAGAGAGAGGCGAAGGCCGCGGCGATAGGGGTCGTGGTGGATACCGAGGCCGCGGAGGTCACCCTGGAAACGTGCCCATGCACGCGCAGCAGTCTTCTTACATGTCTAACGGCAACTCCTTCGGCTCCCAAGGCCCCAGACAGTACGCCAGCCCTCCCCTCCATCAGGGCGGCAGCTTCCAATCCTCATACGGAGGTTCTCAGTCCCGCGGTGGTCGTGGCGGCCGCGGTCAGTCAAACGGCTCTGGCGCGTTCCGCGGTGCTGGTGGCCCTTCGAACTCTGGCCGTATGCGTCAAGTTCAGACCAACATGAACCAGGTATCCTGGGATTACGGAGTCCCCATGACCCCGGGTTCTTATGCCGCATTCTACGAGCAAACGAGACATATCATGATCCCTCAGATGGAGTACTACTTCTCTGTCGAGAACCTCCTGAAGGATACCTACTTGCGCAAGAACATGGACAGCCAGGGTTTCGTGCCCTTGGAGCTTGTCCTCGGCTTCCAAAGGGTTCGTTCGGTCGCCGATGCCCAAACTCTGCGCGCAATTATTGCCGAGTGCCCCCAGCTGGATTACGTTGTCGGCGACGATGGCATTGAGAGATTGAGATCCCGTACCCACTGGCAAAAGTTTGTCTACCCTAACATGGAGCTGCGCTTCGATGCTGCCCGCAACGAGGGACCTCAGTACTTCTACCCCCGTTCCCTTCACGCCATCGCTCATTACGACCACGGCATGCTCGGTGACTACCCTGTCATCTCGCCGACTGCTGCCTACCCCAATGGTGCCGATAACAGCTACGTCGCCTACCCTACTGAGGCTCAGGGTGGACAGCCGAACGGCACTGTGAACGGCAACGCTGCCGAGACACAGCTTTCTGCTCAAGTCCCCGAGTTCCAGCCCGGCCCTGCATCCGAGCAAACGGCCGAGGTCTCGTCGGAGACGGAGAAGGCTCAGCCCCTCGTCAATGGCTCTGCCCACACAGAGAGTGCACCCTTGACAAACGGAAACCACGCTCAGCCTGCTGAAGCCCTCCAGTCCTAGTTGGACGAAGGCATCGTCGTGGGCTGTGGCAGCGAGGCGGCAACATCAGGATGCGGTGACGATAGTAGCAACTTGTCGAGTCCTTCTCAACGCGCACACTTGCTGATGCGTTTCCGAGGTGAGAACTCGGTTGCAGAGTCTCCCATCGACGACATCCCGTACCCTGAGTTCCGTCTGCGCGCGCTCTCCCAACGGCAAGATACTTTGGCCGGGGAAATTCCCGGCGACATGAAATCCCTTTATCGGTTCTGGTCTCATTTCTTGGCCCGGCATTTTGATTTGGAGATGTTTGAGGAGTTTCGGGCATATGCAGTGGCGGACGCCACGGGGGGGATCATCAACACAACTGGCCTCAAGCACCTGATTGCATACTATGAAGCGGTCTTACAAGAGGACAAAGAATACCCTCT